AACTTTTCATTAAACTAATCGGAAAATCGAAGCAGTACTTTATATAACCATATATACTAGATAAGAGTCTTACTTATATTAGTCCTCAGCTGGCACATTGGTGCAATTGTGCTGACATTTGAGGCAGGTTGATCCACAATGTTTTCCTGCTTTTCTGCATGAACAAGCATTGCCACAACCTGACTTTAAACAGTTGCAACTAATGTTTTGAATGAGCTTTTTCGGAGCTGTACTCATAAGAGTGGTCACTGGTACATGCGCCCCATTGTTCATCTTCCATCCCCATTCCCCAGCTTATCGGATCTATGAGGTCATTCTCATCCCACGCCTGCAGCTGATGGTAAACACGATACGAATGTTGTTCAGCTGCCCCCTGTATAAGTAATGTTTCAAATCGGTATTATAGCAGCAACGTGGTTGTTAAATAACACTTAATAATCAAAATATCCTCAAAGATTAGGGGGAGTGGGGGTGCCATGAGTCAATACACATACGTTGAGTCTTATAATCAACATGTACTCGTGTTTGCGAACATGCTATAAACTGCACTATAACATATTATTGCAATAGGCCATTACATTCGGAATATGATCTGAAAAGGTGGTGCGAAACGGATTGAAAATGACGAAGTTATCAAGCAATTTGTTCATCTCGTTAGCGAAACTGATTGGGTTATCAATGATTACCCAATCGTTAATCACGTGACAGGGTGTTAGGATACTGTAATTGGGCTTTATGCACGATTTCTGTGCCACTCATTCACTGGATCAGACACCACCAGTCGGATCCACGGAGTTGGTAAGGATCGGCTATTCAGAACGATTCCGATAGTGGGAATCTAGTGCACTAAGCTACAGAGAAAGTCACGTGAAATTTTTGGGCGAGCGAATTAGTAAGAGCCTAACGTATGTGTACTATACCACCTCCCCCACACAATAACTTACCCTGTCTGTAATCCGATTTGAGGATTTATCATTTGGTGCGATCTCTACGTTACAGAATGGACATTTGTTTTATAAACCATGTTTGTGGACTAAAGATGGTTCTGACTCAGTTACAACGGACTCATCTTCATTGGCCGATATGAATCTTTGGAACTGGTCTATGGTCACTGTCTGCAATAACATACAATAGACGTCACTCTGAGCAGAATCAGTCAGGCCGTTGTACTGCCGTTTAATTTCGTTCATTGACCAGGGGTTGTTGATCCAACCTGTGTTACGATGGTTTGTTTATTTATACAGAGTATGAGAGGCCTCAGGATAATGAATAGGACTGTAACCATCCGTTTCAAACTTGCTGGGCATAGTTTAAAAGTTAGTGTACTTACTTAAAAGATAAATAGTTAAAATAGTACCTGGGGACAGCAACCCTTTCCAGATTTCATTCCATACAAATTTACTTTGTCGATCATTCGCCCTCTTAAAGCTATTCACCGGAATTAACTCCTCATTTGCCTGGTAAATTAAAACATAGTATTGGTTAAGAATGCCTCTAGTTGCGCTCTCGAGTCTCGGTTGACATAAAACTTAAAAGTAAAACGGTAAAAACATAATATTACTATTATTGTATATTAGTTGACAGCTACTTACATAGAATCTGCACGCGTGCAGTATCAGGCACACGATGTGTTCTTCTGTTTTCAAAATGTCAACTATTTGGAGTGATTTCAGTCCTCGATTTTTAGCAGATTCAACTTTTTTACGAAGAGAAGTCAACATAAAGTAAAAGCTGAAGCTTACACTTCCAAACGATAAACTGACAATCAGAGATAAGATCTCTAGTTAGCGATTGAAAAATTGCTAAGTCTTGTTTAAACAACCATTTTAACAATCTAGTTAAGCACAATACTAAGTCGAGAGATATGATGTGTTAATAGTTATTAGCTAGAATAGTATCGTACAAATTTGGATATTTTACCGTATATTCCATTTATCTGCATCTCTTTTTGTCTGTTATCTAATCTATGTGACGATGTATGTTCTGTTATTCAAGTAAATTCATTTTACGTTTCACGTCACGGCAAATATTTTTGATAAAAATCATATTTTGAAATTTTTAAAAATTTAATTATTATTTAATTAATTAATCAATTAATTATCTAATCCAAAGGTTGTCACATAAAAAGTTGTTCTCTTTTATGTTTTGAACACATTGGTTCAATCTAAAACCTTCTACGACATTCAGAAGTCGTTTTATTAGCGGAGATTCAATGTGGTAAAAAGTGGTAAATAGTGGTTATTCTTTACTATTTCGAAAATTTTATAAGTCAAAAATATTGAAAGTGAAAATTTTCAAAAGTTTTATAAAAATTAGTTCATTATACGTGGAATGTAATTGTGAACATTTTTATCAAAATATATTTTTGAAATATTTGAAAATTTTTTAATTATTTAATTAATCAATTAAATAATTTATTTTTGAAAAAGTTGTTAAAGAAAAAGTTATTCTTATTTGTTTTCTCAACACACTGCTTTAAACTAGAATCTTCTAGGATATTCAGAACGTGACTTATTTGCGGAAAACCAAAGTGGTAAAAAGGTGGTAGAAAAGTGGTAATTGTGGATTTTCCTGAAGTCTTTTTTTGGGAACTCTCTGGAATGATTCCTGGGACCTGTCCCGACCATATCCCGTTAAAATCGCTTTGTTGCGAATTTTGTCCGACAAAGGCTTAAATTAGGACGGATTTGACTGTACTAATTTAGAAAAACTAAAATGTTCTATATTGTGCAAGGTTTTATAATCCAACATCATAGTAAAATTTCAATGTTCAATTGATGGTCTGGTGTGGCGGGGCTCTCCCACTTACTTATTGACTTGTGAGATAACATGAATTTAGAAAATACTTAACAATTTACTTCACATAACAGATTCAACAGATTTGATGTCGTTAGCTCGAACCTCATCTCCCTCTTCTTACTCTTGGAATCAGATTGACCTTACAACTCAGAAACAGATTTTAGTTATTGATGTGGAGCAGTACAATGACCCTTTTAAATCCAGGGACAGAAATGGAGGGAAATGGAAAATCAATGATCTAGATAAAGATAAACCCTTTAAATGTGGAGTCTGTTTATATTCAACTAGAAAGAAGAACAACCTTAAAGCTCATGTGAGAACTCATTCAGGTACAAAACCCTTCAGTTGTGATGAATGTGGTCTAAGATTTACTCACAAAAGTTATTTTCAGAAGCATGAAAAAAATTGTGCCAGTAAGGATATTATTGATATTACTTCTGATGAGGAGTCTCTATCAAATTTTGTGAGCAAAATTATCGAGCCTTCTCGACATGAGACATCATTGCAGATATCCAAAAAGCCTTTCAAATGTGGAATGTGTCTTTATTCAACGAGGAAGAAGAATAATCTAAAAGCTCATCTAAGGATACATTCTGGAGTTAAGCCTTACAAATGCAGCCAGTGTGAATTCTCAACCACTCACAAGGTTCAATTGAAGAGACATACAAATGAATGTTGCTCGAATAATCAGAAAATTGCACAAGTTTATGAGCTTGAAGTTCCTAGGGGCAAAGCTACACGTAGTGAAGTGAATATCAATGCTACCTCAGAAAAAGTGCATTTTAGCTGTTTGGTGTGCTCATACTCATGTCATGATTACCAAAATCGACACGACAACCACTCTGCTATTCATGTAAACAAACCCTTCAAATGCAAAAAACCTGATTGCAAATATGCTGGAGCTTCCATGGAGAATCTTGAAAAACATATAAAATATATCCACAACTTTCACAATTGGTACATGTGCTCTAAATGTGATCATAAAGCACGAACCAAACGTAATTTAGATACTCATTTTTTCAAACACTCCCAGGAAAAGCCATTTAAATGCGACATCTGTGAGTTTGCAACAACATCACAGGCATATGTTAACATCCACAAGAAACTCAAACACTCTAAAGATAAACCATATAAATGCAAGAGTTGTGAAAAATCTTTCATTAGACAAAAAAGCTTAATCATTCACATCAGATCACACACTGGGGAGAAACCTTATAAATGTGATTCCTGTCCATTCAGAGCAGCTCAAGAATGTGATGTTAATATACATAAAAAGTTCAAACACTCCAACGAAAGGCCTCATCAGTGTCAATTTTGTTCACATTCATCTGTTCGCCTCAGTGAATTAAAACACCATGTCAGAAGAGTCCATCATGAATTGAATTGTTAAAACTATTCTTTAACTGTTGATGGCCATGTTCTTTTTCTATAATGTGACATATATATAATCTTATTTGATTTATTGAAAGAATTTAATTTTTGTATCGTCTGAAAAATTTGGAAACAAGCATTATGTTTAAATTTGTACTTTAACATTTGCAGCTTTAAGCAAGAGTAGATAATTTACATCTATAAATGTAAATTATTTACTCTTGAATAAGCTGCAAATGTTTTGAAAGTAAAAACTTTTTGATATATTCAAAATTCCATATGTGCATTGTTGAGACCAATTTTGGGCAGCATCCCGTTTCCCAGGGTGACTTGAACTTTAAACTTGATATTATATAGTATGATGCCTGAGTAGTTAACAATAATATCCACACAGGTCAGGTGATGTCATGTCGTTATTTCAAACCTCGTCTCCCTCTTCTTATTCTTGGAATCAGATCGACCTTACAACTCAGAAACAGATCTTAGTTATTGATGTGGAGCAGTTCAGCGACCCTTTTAAATCCAGGGACAGGAGTGGAGGGAAACGGAAAATCATAGATCTAGATAAAGATAAACCCTTCAAATGTGGACTCTGTTTATATTCAACTAGAAAGAAGAACAACCTTAAAGCTCATATGAGAACTCATTCTGGTACAAAACCCTTCAGATGTGATGAATGTGGTATAAGATTTACTCATAACAGTTATCTTCAGAAGCATGAAAAAACGTGTGCCAATAAGGATATTATTGATATTACTTCTGATGAGGATTCTTTATCTAATATTGTAAGCAAAATCATTGATCCTTCTCGACATGAGACATCATTGCAGATATCCAAAAAGCCTTTCAAATGTGGAATGTGTCTTTATTCAACGAGGAAGAAGAATAATCTAAAAGCTCATCTACGGATACATTCTGGTGTTAAGCCTTACAAATGCAACCAATGTAAATTCTCAACCACTCACAAGGTTCAATTGAAGAGACATACAAATGAATGTTGCTCAAAATTTCAGAATATCACTCAGATTGTTAATAATGACTTCTCTGATTTGTTCGCTGCTTCTGAAGACAATGCACCCGTAAAATATCGTTGTTCAAAAAGTGATGTTGCGGAGGTTCCTAAAAGTAAGTCTACACAAGATAAGATAAACAGTAACTCTATCTCAGAAAGGGTGTTCTACAGTTGTACAGTGTGTCCATACTCATGCCATGATTACCAGATTAAACACAACAAACATGCTTCTACTCATGAAAACAAACCCTTCAAATGCCACATAATTGATTGCAAATATGCTGGAGCTTCCATGGAGAATCTTAAAAGGCACATTAGAAATATGCACGACTTTCAGAATTGGCACATGTGCTCTATATGTGATTATAAAACAAAACTGAAAGTTCTTCTTGATACCCATTTGGTGAAACATTCTGAAGAAAAGCCATTTAAATGTGACTTATGTGAGTTTGCAACTACATCAAAGTATAGTTTAAAGCGTCACAAGACACGCATGCACTCTAAAGATGGACCATATAAATGCAAGAGTTGTGAAAAATCATTCTTTTTTAAAAGTTATTTTATCGAACACACTAGAACTCATACTGGAGAGAAGCCTTACAAGTGCGATGCTTGTCCTTTTAAAGCAGCTTACAAAAGTGTTGTTGAAATACATAAAAAGCACAAACACTCTAATGAAAGGCCTTACCAGTGTCAGTTTTGTTCTTATGCATTTGTAATCAACTCTCAATTAAAATGCCATGTTACAAGAAGGCATCCTAAATAAAAATTAGAATTTTAAACAGCTTTGAGTTGTTTAATTAACTTTACTATCATTATTCATGTGGGTTCACTTTTAATTGGCAAGCTCACTTGTTGCAATTACATTTATTTACGATTACAGAGATTTGAAAGAAATTTCTAATTATCAAGAACCATTTTGTTGGTTAATATACATATAATGGCATAGTTTTCTTGTATGAATAATTTGTTTGATTTTGAATCCCATACTACTTTCTGAGAGCAAATTTCATGAATGAATAGTTAACAGATGAAAATATCTATAAAATATGATTCAAGAAAACATAAATGTAATTCAATAAATCCATCCAGGTACGGTAGTAGATGGTTGTAGGTATGGGACCGTCAACATTACGGATAATTCTACTTGTAATACTTGGACTATTAACCCTCGCCATGATAATATTCATCTGTATATGTTTCTGTCGGACTCACCGCAGATTACACCGCAACGACCCACAATCCGCACCTCTGCTAGATAACGAAGCATCTCTTGGTCAGTCTGAGTACGGTACTGCACTAGGTACTGAGCCTTTAGATTACAATGCGACATTAGAGAGAACAAGGATTATGTACCAACCAACTCCTTTCACTCAAGCTCAAGTTCAGTCGCCGCCGCCGCAGTATGATGATTTGTACGGGAGCATATCACAGCCTTACAATAATGTTCCTTCTTTTCTACTGAATGATGGATAAGACTTGCGATGGGTGATTCATCTGCGTATAAATGTCGATGCTATTAGTGAAAATAAGTCTGTGTGTTGATTATCAATACATTATTAAGTGATACTGATGAAGTAAGTTTAAATTGTATTTTACATTTTTAACTAAAGATTAAAGAAATTTGACTGTTAAAAGCACTTTATGTGTCCACCACTAAAAAATTCATTTTGATTTTCAGACATGAAATACATCATTATTTTAATAAAGTCTTTATATTTTGTTTATTTTTGAGAGATAATTTTTACATTGTTTTGTCCCTTAGCTTTTTTAATTTGCTTAATTGATTGTTATGAATGAAATTAATCGGGTTTTATGATTAAAATTGCTTGATTTATGCTGTTCGATTAAATGTTAATTCTTAAATTTCATTGTTCAAAAGTTAACGAGGTTTAATTTTTTCAAAAGTTGAAAGCACAAATCACTTCCAGTATTGATGCTATTTATATTATGTTTTAATACCATGCTCTAATCTTGAAACATAATACGAAACATATACGAAAGCATAAGCTCTAATCTATTCTAACATATCCTGCAAGTTTCTAACAAAGACCACTACTAGGATCTGTAATTACTCCAACTTTAACACTCTCATCCTCCACATAGCCTCCTCACACTCACTCCCGTGAAATGGAGAACGTGGCACCAGGGACCATGAGGGCAGTCAGCAAGGAGCTGCGGGACCTGAACAAGGATCCTATTGAGGGTGTCACTGTGCTCATGAACGAAGCTGATCTGACTGATATAACAGCACACATTGCTGGTCCAAGTATGTGCTGGATTTATTAATTTGTCAATGTTTTCCGATTAAGCACCTGACACGGCAGTTGGCTTAGACAACTTTATCAAGCTCCCCTCTCAGATGTCTCAGTTTAATTAGTATCGCCCCCCCCCCCCCCCCCCCCAGTATCGTTCCCTTCACCTCAGCAACTCATTGTTCATATTGTACAGGTGGTACACCTTACGAGGGCGGCAGTTTCAAAGTGAAACTTGTTCTCAGCAAAGATTTCCCTGCTTCTCCCCCAAGAGGTTTGGATTTAACGATTAAAATATATGATATTTGTATTTGGTGGCTGACACTGGATCTATCGAGTATTTTAGGTCCTTCTCGCTTCGCTGTTGGCATTTGTTTTGATCTTTAGCGATTTCAAAACAAATCTCACCCACACGTCTTTAGGTTATTTTCTGACGAAGGTATTCCACCCGAATGTAGCTGATAATGGTGAAATTTGTGTCAATACCTTGAAGAAAGACTGGAAACCTAATCTTGGGATAAAGCACGTGCTTTTGGTAGGTAGATTAAATTGTTACTAATTTAAAAGTATAGGTTGTCGGTAATATTTTAGCGCTGTAGACTTTGTAAGACGCGAAGACGTTGATCTAGAGAATTTTCATTCAAAGCAATTGTTACGCGCGCAAATTGATTGATTTCTTTTTTAAGCGCAAGAATAACGGATTTTGAGATTTTAATTTCAATGATTGGCGAAGTAAAGGCGGAGGCTCTCAATAATTAATTTTTTTTTTCAGACAATACGTTGTTTACTCATATACCCAAATCCTGAATCTGCTCTGAATGAAGAAGCAGGAAGATTACTCCTAGAAGCCTATGAGCAATTCGCATCAAGGTATAAATACAGATTTATTATTTTATAGGTATACCAATAGATTCGCATCTTCTTCTTAAGAGTATTTTCTCATATTTTCTGAAGATTTTCTACTTATCTCTGATTATATACATTCTTGAATCAAAAGCAAAGTCACGATTCTGTTATTACAGATTTTAACATAAAGTTAGTGCCAATCTACTGCCCAGTTACTGCAGTAGTGGCGTGTAACGTCACGTATTCGTACCCACATTGCAAATATTCACAGGGCGAAAATGATGACGGAAGTTCATGCCAAACCCATCAATAAAGTTTCTGATAAATCAATCCCCGCCACAGCCTCTTCGCAAAAAATGGCAGCAAAGAAAAAGGCAAAGGGTCTCCGTCGACTTTAGGAGGCAGGCTACTGGTCCAATTCAGAGTTACTCATATTGCCGCTTTACACCGTTCAATTATAATTATATTTGTATGTTAAGTTGTTATTATAATGTTAGGTTTCAATATGTATTTGCTTTTTACATTGCTGGTTAAGATTTTTATTGAATGTTTTTCTGACGACCTTTTTCGTAAAGTTTTGAAGATAATAGATGTTTGACAGTGTTTAAAAGGCAAGCCTTGACATAAGATTTATACTAGTCCAGATTTGTAAATATTCTTTTCGTATTTACCCAAAATCTTTATCCATTGCAATGCTTATGTATTATAGGATAAAATCTTGCAACGATTTCTTCTCCTGTGCTCAGAGTATGTTTGAATTTCGAGATTGTGACCTATTGCTCAATTCAAAATTTCTTAGCTGTTCCTCAAAACATATATATCTCAAATTATTTGGCGATTTCGCAACTTAAAAGTTAGAACAAGTCTATAACTGTGCATTATTAGATTGTAATTAATCAGATTTACCTAGGCATGAGTAATATCTACAATCTCGAGCCAGTAACGAAAGGGAAAGTCTTGTTGACAACATCTCACGGGGATATAGAGATAGAGCTCTGGGCTCGAGAGGTCTGTATAAATGACAGCCTAATGGTATATTTTAGTGTGACAAATTATTTGTTGAACTATCGGTAACAGCTGATCTATCATCTATTCAATATTTGCAGACATTTGTAAATTTGGCAGCGATTCAGCATTGTTCTCAATTTGAGACACTCCTGTCATTAAATCATCTACCAGACAAATATTTCATTCCTTCTCCAGGCACCAAAGGCATGTAGGAACTTCGTTCAGTTGTGCTTAGAATGTTATTATGACGATACGATATTTCATCGGCTAGTAAAAGGATTCTGTATACAAGGTTAGTTAAACTGAATCTTTACGACGATTAATAATCCAAATCCCTCTACTAGCCTGGGCTGAAAAAGGACGTTTCATTAGCTGAGAAACAAACTGCCTTTTGATCTGTAATTGCCGATGTCAATTATATTCCTGATGAATTTTGTAAAATTGACACTCGTAGCTATTTTGAATTAGCACAAAGGTTTAATTACAAGACGTGGACGTCCACATGAAATATATATTTTCTACACACAGCAGCATGTAGATTTCTGATGTGTCACATATAATATCTGCTGTTTTGTTTCGTGTTCTCGATTTTACAACCTGAGTATCTTTAGCGGTGTTTGATAAACGTTCATCTATACTCATCGTTATCTCGTGACAAGTTAACCATCTTGAATCCTGATTAGTTCAATCATACACTCGAGTGAGGTAGAAAACTGTCTTATTTAGAATACTCTTTGGTGGTATTTGCTCCTATTTTAAGACAATAAGCACCCACTTGAAAGTAATACGATTTGTCAATCAGATTTTTACCCTAAAACTCTTTCCATTTTCCAGGAGGTGATCCCACAGGTACTGGAACGGGGGGAGATTCTATTTACGGAGAAGATTTCGCAGATGAGTTCCACCAGCGTCTTAAGTTCAACAGAAGAGGTCTGCTGGCCACGGCTAACAAAGGGGAGCCCAACTCAAATGGCTCGCAGTTCTTCTTCACTCTTGGGGAAGCACCGGAGTTGCAGAAGAAACACACGATCTTTGGGAAGGTTCGCAGCTCGGGGAAGTTTCCCTAACTTTGAACGTTCATGTGACTTCGTCATATCATTTAAATATTTGGCCGTTCTCACGTTAGATGAACAATGACACTTTTCAGTTAGACAAATATCCGGTGGGTAAACCATTACCAATTATCAAGTAACCATTAAATTTAGTAAAGAAGTAAATAATCAGGTGACGGGGAACACCATCTTTAACGTGTTGAGAATGGCGGAGATGGAAACAGATAATAATGAACGACCTCTCGAGCCTCCAAGTATCAGGAAAACCGAGATCCTCAACAATCCGTTTGATGATATAGTTACTAGAGATATTAAGCATAAAACTGTGAGTTTTTGCGTAACTTAAAATGTGACAAACTTTTTACCTTTATTGAACTAATACAATGCAAAAGATGGAACCAAACTTAGTTCAGAACAAGAAAACGTTTATAACGGCGAACTGGCACCCTATAATGTCCATTACCTGCCAAACCGCTACTAATCAAAATTTTTGTAAGATTGACCCATCAGTTCTAATCTTAGTGATTAGTCACATATTCGTCACAGTAAGATCAATCGCCTAACATAGACTTTACTACACTGGATATTTTTTCTGCAAAATAAGTTTATACGGCAATCAAATGCAGGGCGAAGAGAAGAAGAAAGAAAAGAAGAAGAAAAGTCAGATGAAGGCTACAAAGAATTTCAAACTTTTGTCGTTCGGAGAAGAAGCTGAGGAAGACGAGGAAGAAGTCCAACAGGTAAATATGTATTTTAAAAGATGATATTATTTTATTTTATAAAATAATTCGTGAAGTTCTAAGAAACACATAAGTTTTATACAAGTGAAACAAGCTCATTGGGCTTTTTGATATCGGAAAAATGATATCGAATTAATGAATGCTGTTGTAAAAAGGAACAACCGCATTATAAAGTAATGTTTTTTTTTTGGATTTTGGTTTTTTTTTGGTTTTTTCTTTGTTTTTGCCTCTTTTAACATTTTGTTGGTTTTTTTTTCTGGTTTATAAATAATAACAAGGAATGATTAATGCATCCTATCCCATAACTGTGGTTTCTGCAATTGCTGCTGCAGAGTGTTTGTCAGAGCGTATGTCAAAGCGTGTGTCCAAGTGTTTGTCAGAGCGTATGTCAGAGCTTATGGCAGACCGTGTGTCCGAGCGTATGTCAGAGCGTGTGTCCGAGCGTATTTTAGAGCGTGTGTCAGAGCATATGTCAGACCGTGTGTCCGAGCGTGTGCCCGAGCGTGTGTCCGAGCGTGTGTCCGAGCGTATTTTAGAGCGTGTGTCAGAGCATATGTCAGACCGTGTGTCCGAGCGTGTGTCCGAGTGTTTGTCAGAGCGTATGGCAGACCGTGTGTCCGAGCGTATGTCAGAGCGTGTGTCCGAGCGTATTTCAGAGCGTGTGTCAGAGCATATGTCAGACCGTGTGTCCGAGCGTGTGCCCGAGCGTGTGTCCGAGCGTGTGTCCGAGCGTATTTCAGAGCGTGTGTCAGAGCGTGTGTCGGAGCGTGTGTCAGAGCGTGTTCCGGGCGTATGTCAAAGCGTGTGTCAGAGCATGTGTCCGGGCGTATGTCAGAGCGTGTGTCAGAGCGTATGTCAGAGCGTGTGTCCGAGCGTGTGTCCGAGTGTGTACCCGAGCGTGTGTCCGAGCGTGTGTCCGAGCGTGTGTTAGAGCGTGTGTCGGAGCGTGTGTCAGAGCGTGTTCCGGGCGTATGTCAAAGCGTGTGTCAGAGCGTGTGTCCGGGCGTATGTCAGAGCGTGTGTCAGAGCGTATGTCAGAGCGTGTGTCCGAGCGTGTGTCCGAGTGTGTGCCCGAGCGTGTGTCAGAGCGTGTGTCCGGGCGTATGTCAGAGCGTATGTCAGAGCGTGTGTCCGAGCGTGTGCCCGAGCGTGTGTCCGAGCGTATTTCAGAGCGTGTGTCATAGTGTGTGTCAGAGCGTGTTCCGGGCGTATGTCAAAGCGTGTGTCAGAGCGTATGTCAGAGCGTGTGTCCGGGCGTATGTCAGAGCGTGTGTCAGAGCGAGTGTCCGGGCGTATGTCAGAGCGTATGTCAGAGCGTGTGTCGAAGCGTATGTCGGTAGACTTTTCAAACAGTAAGGCAATTATCCTGATCCCCCTGATTCTGCAGAGATAAAATGAGATTAAATTAGGCTAAGATCCCCTGATTCTGCAATAAGATCAGTGTTGCTTATATATATACATATAGCCTGACTGACAATTTTCTCGACTGACTGACAATGTTTCTTCTTTTTCCCCATTTAGAATACAAAGATTAGTACATTTTAGCTTATGATTAATATTATATTTTTACCTATAGTTTACCTAGATTAAATTAATTTTTATAGATTGCAATTACATATTTTCAGATCAGTTTATTAGCTTTCAAGGAAAAACTATTAATGCTTGTATCACAAATGCGAAGGTGTTACAAGATTCAACAAACTTAATTCGTGTACCAAATGACATATGAAAAGTTCATTTGTTTAACTATCCATTTACCTGTTCACGAGATCTCGTTACAAGCTGTTTCGGGAACTGGCCAGCTCCGCGAGATGTATTGTCTCTGATTAGCAGATTATTTTCTGAGATAGATTTACGATTTCTCTGTAACTTGTCTGTTGTGTTACTTGGATCAAATGTCACTGTCCCTGCTCCATTTGGGTAGGTGTATAGTTCGCTTTCTGATTCATTTGATGTTAAATATTCAGAGACACTTTGATCCCCTTTGTCAGTTTTCTTCTCAACTTCATTGTTTTCACAGGAGTTTATTCCATCCTCCCCTTTTGGAGGCACTTCTTTTTTGACGACTTCTCTACCCGCCATTATGAATTTCTTCACCCGTATGGAATCTTCACTCTCGGAGATGAAAACGAGTTCATCTGGGAAGATACTCGAAGACACGTATTTGTGTTTGCGGGCACCCAAACCTACCTAAAAGAAATTACTGTTTTACAATTTATATTAAGCATGTAACAACTAACAATATTTAGGTTCCAAATAGTGTTCATGAAGAGATTAAATTGCATCAAAAAAGTGATGAAACCTTGAATCAATTTGAAGTGTTGTGAAATAAAATTGAAAACGAAGCTGAATCATTCTAAAATTTTACCTTTGAACGCGCTGATGTATCCCTTTCCGTTCTCGTCTTCCATATTTTTGACCTGCTAGTGCTGTCGAGAGTCCTTGAAGCAGGAAACCTTGGGTCTGGCAATCCCTGTTGTAAGGGGCCTTGTTGTGGTGGCTTTTCTTTAGGAACTTGTAGTCCCCCTTCCAAGTCAATTTCGTTGAAGACCTTCGAAATTTTGTTCACTGTACGAATGTGAAGTCCGATGACGAGAAATCCTAGAGCCAATACCAATACTCCTAGAAGAATCACAGCTGCAGATAACTGATTGATGTCATTTCCTGTGAGCACTGCTGTACTTGTATTTAAGTTGACCATTGTTTTTTATAAGTTTGAGAGCAATTGGAAGGGAAAGATAAATAAATGAGCGTGCACGCGTACCGCGCATATATTGCAGCTAATATCTCCATGGTAACCGCGGCGTCCACGTGCACACGCCAAACATGAAACACTGCCCATCGCGCGACTTGGTCTAGAGTCGGAAGGTTCATAGCAATAAAATATTGTCAAATAATTGCTATCTCCGGCTTATCTGTTATTCCTAAGGTCAAATAGCTGCCAAAAAATGTGGACTCCAGAATATATATGCTGTAGAAAAGAGTTTGAGTCAATTATTACGAGCGTCAAAATGGTTTGCTGGTCAACCAATTAAAAGCAGAGATTTAACCTAAATTACTCAGAATTTCAAGACACAATAAATATGCGATACCATCGGGAGTTGAAAGGACTTTCAACAGTCTATCCTTGCACCCAAAAGTTCACAATGACACACGCACTTAAGTGCAAGAGAGGGGGGCTTTGTTCGCATGAGACACGATAACATCAGAGACTTAATTGCAGGACTACTCAAAATCGTGCAACATGGCGTTCAAACTGAGCCACCTCTTCGAAAAATAATAGAGGCTCAATCTGTTGAATTCAGAAACACAGCCGATGTAGCGAGATTGGACATCAGGCGAAAGGCTAAATATCATTTAGGAGAGCTGGCCAAGGCGCCTATTTTGTTAGTGTCATATTAACAAATCCACTGTCATCTACTATGAAGACTTCACTGTATGACTATGAAAAAGAAAAGAAACGATCGTGCAATTATGGAGTTATAAAAGTGAAGCAGGGGACTTTTACGCCGGGGTTCTGGTTGTCAACATTTTGTTTGTTAAGTCGGAAGTCCTAAATAGGGAAAGGGAATGGCCGCGGTAGCCGGTAAATCGGGGCGCGATAAACCGGGGTTTTACTGTACTAAGATTGCTGAAAAAAGGTATGACTCGTACAGCAACGTTGCCAACTAAACTGGATTCGTTTTTAATTGTAGTTGACGAAATGAGAGTCTCCACTCAGTGTGTTAAAACATAATTCTTTGTCGACGTTTCGGCTACATGCCTTTGTCATAAACAGGACGTACTGAAAACTTACATAGCTGCAAAGATACAATGTTACAATAATCTATTAATACTACGAAATATAACAACAACAACAAATAACATTTTGAAACACAACAACAATCACAAATTTTTTCCAAAAGAAACATAAAATAAAAACGGCTAAAAGAATCCAAATCGCAACAAGCCGTGAACAATTCTTCATACTACTACAAACATTTTACCAAGATAGCTCCTTCATAAAACTGATTAATCAAAAATTATCTAGGTTTATAAGTTCAATATTACATTAACTTCCAAGTATATTTTATCCAATCACCTTCATTTACGGACTCAGACAATTGAGTATTTATTTCTGGGTTTTCACGTTTTATTAGAACCGACTGCCATAATTGACGGTCCACATAGTCGATCTTTACATCTTTTTCGAACTATAAACCGAAACGGTATGTTTGGCATTGAAATGTCTGCATGCTCCTCTAGGTAGTGCTTCCCCATGGCCGTAGATTTGTTGCCATCCCTTACTGATTTGTAGTGTTCCCAGGCTCTACTTCTTTTAAACCTACCAGTTTCCCCAATGTAGGACTTATTACATATTTGGCATATTAATTGGTAGCAAATGTTTTTGATCATGCAGGATTTATCGCACTGGTAGCATTTGCTGTCACTTTGTTTATTGCATTTTGTTTGCTGTAGGCTAGATCTTGTTAAAGCTTCCATGAGACGTTGTCCTGATGTGAATGTTACCCTGGTGGAATCCAAGAGGTTTTGATTTCTTAGGGTATAGTAGACTTTTCGACACGTCTGTTCATTTATATAAGGTAATGATAAGTAAGCTATTTTTGAGTTCTTTTTAGGCGCATTTTGTTTATCCAGTGTATTCTGTGTTTCTCGAATAAGTTTCTTGACAATATTAGGAGGGAAACTATTCTTCTTTAGCATATCAGCTATTCTGTTGATACTGAGATCTTGTAGTTCAGGTGTGGAGCTATTATTGATAGCCCTTCTGATCTCATTTTTGGCTGAGTTCAGAATCGTTCTACGAGGGTGAGCAGAGGCATAATTTAGGAATATGTCCTGGCTGGTTGGTTTAACAAATAAGGAAAAATCTAACCTCTTGTCCACCGTATTCATATAGATGTTCAGGTCCAAAAATGCAACACAATCTTTGGAGCACTCATATGTGAACTGTATATCCCTGTTCAACGAGTTAATGTAGTTAAACAGCAATAGTACTGTGTCTTCATCTCCCTCGATTATGCTGAAGCAGTCATCTACATATCTATCCCACATATCTATGATTGGGAGTCCTACTGGTTTGGGGGGAGCTTCTGGTATGTAGGCATAGTCGTTCTCCATCAGAGGCAATTCGATTGTACAGTAAACATAGATTATTGCAAATGGTGGAGCTGGTTTCACACCCATGCCGAGTCCATTTAGTTGTTGGTAGAACTTTGAATCAAATCTGAAGTATCCTGCCTGTATGACTGATTTGAGGACCAAGTAAAAGTCCCCGAGGTCCATTCCATTTGTATCGATTTTATCCCTGTTGTTTTTTATGAACTTTATGATAACTTTGTGTCCTTCTACAAGTGGGACATTTGTGTAGAGGCTTTTCACATCAGCCGTGAACATTATGTGGTTTGTGTTTATTCTTCCCATCCAATGATCTTCTAATTTTTGCCGAAATTGAGGAGTGTTCTTAGTGTTAACGGGAACCAAGTCTAGTGCTTGGTTAAGTATATTGGTAACAAAATGACCTAGTCTTTCCGCTGGTGAATCTACTTGGGATGTGACAGGTCGCAAGGGTGGCGGTGAAATATCTTTGTGTGTTTTCCATGTACAATAAAACTCTGGTATACGAGGAAGATATGGATTACAATGTTCTCCGATCCAAGGATATTTTTGTGTAAGTGAAATTATCAAGCCATCTATATCTGTGTTCATGCGAGGAAGAGGATTTTTGGGCAGTTGTTTGTATGTACGAGTATCAGATAGCATTTCCTCTACCTTCTTAATGTAGAAAGTTTTATCTGAGATCACGAACTGTTTATCTTTATCAGCTACTTTGATTACAATGTCGTCCCTAGCTCTCAGCTCTTTAACTATCTTCTGTTGTTGGTCAATAGTTTTCAGAGTGGTGTGGTGTTGTTTCTTTCCTAGGGCCTTGTCATAATCCAATATAACTGCGGCTTTCACTGCCTGGAGAACGTGTTCTTTAGCTGGGTTATTAATTTGTTGAGGCTGAAATTTGAAATCTTCTGGTTTTCTTAGAAAAAGCGGCTTGTTAGCCTGATCCACTTCTGTAACATTATCTAAGTACCTAGCATGTAGCCGAAACGTCGACAAAGAATTATGTTTTAACACACTGAGTGGAGACTCTCATTTCGTCAACTACAATTAAAAATTAATGATTGACCCACTCATAAGAGCAAAACAAGATTACCAGTAAACTGGATTCGAACCAAAATTAGTTTCAATTTTCTGACATCAATATTATTATGTATCAGAGGTACAAGATCTAAAGTGAAAGACAGCTGCATTAACGAGGTCTTCCACTTTTTGGTGTTCAGTAATGATTTAAAATGTTTAGTAAATTTTGAGGAGTGCTCAGTATCCTAACGTCCGGCGTTTCTATTGTCGAGCCTATTAGTAATATATGTTTTTCCCAAACAAAATTATCGTGAGTTGACGTTCAGTTAAAAATTGACAAGTCAGTGTAACTGGTGTTAATAATATTAAGCAACAGTCGCCCAAAGATAATCCTGAGTAGAATCATAAAATAAATGGTAATCACGAAGAAATGAAAACGATGCGTCTTCAGGTGACCCGCTTGTGACTCTGCTAGTTTTGGCTTCAATTACTTCTTATCTACTAATAGATGAAGTTTTGTTTATGATAGCCGTTCAACTGGGAGCACAAACTAATCATATTCATAACAATAACTTAAACTTACAGTTGTTGCACTACTTGGAGTTTTAGGAGATTAATCCTTAGGGAACTAATTATAATGATGGAATAAATAAACCTGATCGTACTTATTTTTCAATATTGGCTAATTGTAAACGGTAAAACATGTGCCTGCACTTCGATATCAACTCTGACGTTTTATATTATATATTACAATTAATACAACAAGCTTATTTATGCTTTTCATACAAAGTTACATCAAAGTCTTCATGTTATGTATCCTGGGTTTCGACAGAATATTACCCGTTTAAAATATTTCCATCACGTTACATAATTCTGAAATAATATATTAAATTTACAATAAATTATGCAATCACAACATTATAATCAACAAAATAAATTGATTCACCGAATCTCAGATAGCACAAACATGGTATTATACTAAATGTATCTTGAGATTTTGGATCATTATTCTGATGATCATCAAAAGATTGTTTTGACATCATATAGAAAAAGCATTGCATCAAAAGTTGAAAACATATTTAATCAGCGCAACCAAACGCTCTACGACAATTCGTTTGTAGTAATTGGACCTCGATACTATCGAAGATCCCCTGCACTTTAAAGAAATGCTAACAACGTTTGTGAAGTCATTCCCGGATGAGCCTCTAGTGGCAGGATACAGCTGTCGAAATGGGAACTTGTTACTGGACTGGATCTATGGCTCAGATCATATCTCAAATTGGAAATATTTCGTATACAATTTAGCAAGTAACAGTTTAGATCATGTCTAATTGGAAATGTGTCGTATTGAAATCAGGTCACAATTTCGGACAGATGTCGTTTTTTTCTGGTACCCTGAGTCGGACAGATGTCGCTGTCGGACAGATGTCGCTGTCGGACAGGAGTCGTGTTACCGACTGGAGTGGAATAAAGGCAGCGATCTCGCTGTCCGGGTGGTCAGCAACTCTGATGACGCGATAGAGGATTCTATGAAGCACACCAAAGTAACCAAAAGTAAGATACGTATTAGAACCTAGCCTTAAGATAATCTCTCGATTTCGTGTGAATTCTTTACGATTTCTCTGAAATTCATCTGTTGTGTTGCTTGAAGGAATCTTCTCTGAAGCAAGTGTCACTGCTCCATTTGGGTAGGCGTATAATTCCCTTTCTGATTCATTTTACGTCAAATATTCAGAGACAGTTTGATCACCTATGTCAGTCCCGAAACTTTTCTTCTGAACTTCATTGCCTCCACATTTCTTGAGACATCCAATACTGGTGTTAATTCCATCCTCCCCTTTTAGAGGCGCCTCTTTTTTGGAGACTTTTCTGCCTACCATTATGAATTTCTCACCCGTGCGGAATCTTCATTGAGATGAAGACGAGTTCATCAGGCCTGGGTAGAGACTCGAAGATACATATTTGTGTTTCGATGAGTGATTTGACTTCTGTGAGTTTTAGCAGTGGCAAAACTTATCCTCGTATTTGTTGTCGGACTCGTTTAAAGTTAATTAATATTGTAATTATAACAATTATTGACCATGATTAATTTCATCATAAATTAAGCACAATCATGGTATTATAATTAAGGTATCTTGAGATTCCGGATCATTATTCCAGCTCCCATTGAAAATTTAAGAGAATCTCCTTATTCCGTGTGGGTTGTGCGAGATTCTAGCTCATCAGTATGCTCCAAATTGTTCGTTCCCGCTGAGCGTGTCTCGGGAGCAAAAGTGATTGGAACGACACATACCAATATAATCAGAATGGTAGCACTTAGTTTGGGCATTATCACTTTTAGTTAAGTAAAAGTTATACTTGTCGACTGTTGACAAGATCCACGACAAGTGGGCAAGAGATCAAGGTATCAAACGTGAATCACTGGAAATAAAATTAGTGCTCGATCCTCGCTCTGAGTCTTTGGTATTCAAGATGCGGAGTTTACTCCTTCATCAAATTGGTCACTGAGCGCTCGATTTATAACGCCGATCTGAACCCATGTAAAACCGTTTTAAATGCGCGGCTTTCACCGCGTTCGTATTTGGTTTGCGTATTAATTAAAACAATTGCTGGATAAGTATAAAATTTTAAGTATTAAAATTTCTCAGAGAATTTTCAAATTCTCCAAGATCATTTTCGCAATCATAAACCTAAGGCTAAAAGTATGAAAAATAATCTAAATTCCTCGACGTGAGACAGAAACAATCATAGTTGGACAGCTCGGAAAAATTTTGTGAAAAATTTGTTGAGATCGGCTCATTTTTTCAGTTTGGATAAAAAATCGGAGAAAATTCGCATCTGAATTTTCTCAATTTGTTAAACTTTATTAATTACAGTTTGGTCATTTCAGGTATCGAATAAGTTGGGTAAGATCTCCAGCGCGCACGACAAATCGAACGATCCCAGTCTAAGTAAGGAAGTGGCTGTATCGGAAACTCAACTGAAGGAGGATAGAGATAAGATAAAGACTCAGGCGGAAGTGATCAGGGAGAAGCTGAAAAAGGAAATTGAAGATGTAAGTTATCATTACTAATATTGTTGTATCACTATCAGGTCTAAAATGTTAAATTAGTATGCTAAATGCTTATATTATGAATAAGTAACTAATGGCGCTTTAAAAAGTGGTTGATTAATCATGTTAATTTAATGATGTAACTTATTCTAAATTAGGCGAGGCCTGTAGCTCCCGACCAAACAGAAAAAGAGCATAAGTTAGATGCTTTGAAAAAGGAATCTGAGAAACTTCTTCTCGACATCAAACATATTGGAAAGGAAGAAAAGGAAGAGATGAAGATAGAAGCAGAGAAAGACAGCCATCTTAACGAGTCCGAACGAGAAACTGTTAATGAGTTCAGAAAAGAGCTTAAGGTAGAATTTACCTCTGGTTTATTCTTTACAGTAACTATAGAAACGACAGTTCTGCAAGTGAAATGTATGAATTATATCCAGTAATCATTTAGTCGCACTGTCATATTACCAGCAACTTTATAATTATATCGCTCAACCGACCAGGAATTTAAGATCAAGCAGTCGGAAAAGAAAATTTACTCGAAGAAAGAACGTGAAAAGGAAACCATGTTAAAACTCGAGAAGTTCAATCAGAAAATCAAAGACAATGAAGCGGAACAAGCAAAGGTTTGATCATATCACCTTATTTGTTTACGATCAGTTGTTTGCATCAATTCAAGTCCCATATTTTATAACATAGATTCGAGTGAAACTTGTGAATTTCGCCTGTGAGCGCATGGTTTTCAATTTGGTACTTGAACTTCTTATTCAATCCATATCACTGAACAAACGTGTTATAGATTATTAAATTACAGTTAAAAGTTGTTATCGTTAGGACTTCCCAACAACTGTTAGTTTATCTCACTAATAATAAACCTTATTTTCAGCCGGCAGAGTTACCAGAAGATATCGCTGGAGAGGAAGAGGAGGAACTATTGAACAATATCAACTTGTTTGGGCATAGTCTCATCGATGTCGATCGTAAAGCCAAGGTTTGATTTGATGATGCGTTTACGGCTTTAATATTATTTCTTTGGTGGAATCTTTGATATTTATGATATGTTTTCATCTCAGGAATAATTACCGATAAAACGTTAAATCGATCAACGTAAAATTTGTTTTACCAAAATTGTCACAGGTTAAGGATGCTAACATAGTTGACGATGATACGTTTGAGATATATGATCCGAGGCATCCCATCAACAAAAGAAAGAGGGAGAAGCCTGGCAAAAAGGGGCAAAAGGGACAGAAAGGAGAAGATGATAAATGGAAGAGGTCAAAACTACTGACTTGAACGCCAAGTTATACTTGGTCTTTGAAAACTTGGTATCCAAGCTCTCAGCAGAATCTAGATCAAGTTTCCTTACCCTGTTATCATATTCTGCTCTCGCCCAGTCTCTAGGAGGAGAAATTCATATATTCGGATTTCAGACATTTGATATTTTGGAATGATGAAGATATTCGTAGAACACTTGGCAGTCAAGTTGTCTCTGACACTTGACAGTCACGTTGACTCCTGACTCTGGAACAGTGAAATTTGAGAACATTATACGAGTTTGACAGTGATGACTAAACAGAAGTTAACTGGATGAAGAATACCATTACTAATTAATGTATATGATATATTAACACAGTGCATATAGTTTATGACAAATTTGTACTTTACTAATGACTGTTTTACTCCACCAATGACTGTTCAGTGTTTAGTAGGCGTGTTAACATTCCTGCCGGTAACGGTATGCAGACTCTAGCTCAGACATAGGAGATTCTTATCGTGTTCCACCGACTGGTGATAACATGTTGTGTATAACAATCTTGTTTTTATTTATTTACATGAATCGTTAATTGTAATTTTAAATTTTAAAAGGTAACGCCTACGAGTACGGTTGATGGAAATCTAGCGTCCGCCAACCGGCGCAATTCTTGTTCGTGATTGACTTAGCGATTTTTTGCCTATTCTGAAATATGATCTGAACCCCTTTAATTACTGCTGCCTAATTGTGGTAATGTTTCTCTCGTACAAAATCATTTCCATTTTAATATTTCTTTAAACCGTCTTCATTTTAAGGATATGTTTTGTTTCGTGGACTGTATAAAGTGAACGTTGTAAACTATCATGCTATAACTGGATAGTCTTGTCGATCTACTTACCAACAATTCTGAGGATACAGACAGGACGTGATTAAGTGTTTTTGGAAAATTTTTATCCCAAAATGGCTTTCCTCATGAACTCCTCCTTCTTGAGAAAGGTAACCTTCCCATTCCAGCTCAGAGCGTTAAAAAACTCTATGAAAGGTCAGTATTTAAATTCCACTGTTCGTGAAAAGAATTTCTTTAAATGGTTTAAACCAACTCTCGTCTATTGACCTCGAATTATTTTACTTTTCTAAACACAAGAATGTTGCACCACCTCCAGCAAGATAGCAGCATTACGTAATTTCTACTCCGCAGGTGAAGATTTAGACTGGTACAATGCTGTAGACGATACTGTTATTTTGGGTGCTATACCGCTGAGAAACAAATCTTCCTGGATCACTGAGTTGGTGGGTGCAAGTTTGCTTCTTTTTATTGTTGTTGTTGTTGTAATACGTTAAATCTTAAATAAATTTTGTGGAAAGGGAAAATTTTATTAAACCCAAAGAATTATCAAAAGTTGAACATTATTATTCACCCACTGGTCAGTGGTCATGAATCATAATAACTGTTGTTTCAGAATCTTGGCGGAGTTCTTTCACTGAACGAACTACACGAAAACAAGAAGACCTTCACCGTGGCAGAGTGGGCTGAACACGGGATTACAAACAAAAAGTACGACATAGCGGACCACATTGGAGCTGCATCAGTCGAACAAGCTCACGAGATGGTGAACTTTATACTGGAACAGGAAGCTGCCAGTAAAACTGTGTATGTGCACTGCAAGGCGGGTAAAGGACGCAGTGCTAGCGTGGTTATGTGTTATTTGTGTCAGAAACACAAGGTATCCCCAGAGGAGGCGTTCAAGATGTTGAAGGAGAAGAGAAAACAGATCGACCTCGGGTCAAAACAGTGGAATCTGGTCAGGAACTATTGTCTTGAATATCAGGAGTAGGGAGGAAGATGTATTGACAGGGAATATAATGGACTGGTCGAGTTGGAGTTGTTTTTTGTTTTTGGCCGTTATTGAGCCAAATATTATTTGTGAACCAGCCTAGTGATGGTGCTTACGGAGATTACTCTGATCAAAATGAGATACTAAATAAGCTAATTGGTGTAGTTGTGCACTAATTAGAACTGTACAGTCTTCTTACCAAATATTGTAGATGTAGAGTTGTAGATGTAGAGTTGTACATGATTTATTATTTGAAGTTAATTGCTTTAAAATACTGATTTATCGTTGATTGTCTATAATACGATTTGTATTTTGATTTTTCTATTTACGGGTTTTCTAAACAATTTTATCTTATTTGAGAAACATATAGATTATAGGTTATAAGTTTCGTAAATAAACTATAAGGTTGCAGTTTTTTTTCTCTGAGACAAAGTTAGATAGATTTATCTTTGATGATTGCCTAGAAAGGAAACTTGAGCTTTAAATATGTCCAAAATTGTAAACCTGAACACTCAATGGTCTAATAAGACATAAATATTTTTAAATAAATTATCACAATAATTTACCACTCCCTAAACTCTAATGAAATATAAACGAAGTATGTTGAGGAGAGAAAAGTGTCAATAATCCTGTGTTTTTAAGTTACTTTTGGTTTATTAGATATTAAAGTCAGATTGTTCTATTCTCTGGGAATGGAGATTTTTGTTCATTGTAAATTGATTACTATTGCCTATTTTACATCTTCCATTTTGTAAAATATTCTCTCATTTCTCAAAATCTCCCGCTGTTCGTAGCTCAGAGACTGCAAGCCAGCTTCTAGAAGTTTCTTTTCCCGCTCAGTCCTCCACATTGTAGAGGGGTTGTTGGCGGTCATGTATTCAAAAACTTCAGTTACCAGTTGGGATCTGGTGACGTCACAGCACGTGACATCACACTCTTTCAGGTACTGTTTGTCAGGAGATCCGTGTTTCACGATGAGATGGTCACTCTTTTCTGCATACAAAATAGTCATTGGAAGGAGTTTCGATGCAACCTTCTCTATGATGTCCCTTTTAATCTGAAATGTTGATCTGGGTTAGACTTTCTTATTCGATTGTTTGTGCAACTGCCGCTATAAAATATTTACGCCTTATAAAATAGAATGATCATGACAACCAATACCACTGAAACGGGGATCCAACCAACCACGACGGTTACGGATTTGTACCAACTGGGGATTACCACATTAGTTTACCTTGTCTCGTCTGTTCGGCCACACTATCATGTCCATAGAGCCTGCCTTCGATCTCCAGCTGTCCAAATGTTTGTAGAAAGATCCATAAAACACTGAAAGTTTGCAATTACCAAGGTGTTATGCTCAATCACCCTCTATTAACTATTGGTCGCATTTTCTGATGATATCCCAAAATAAGTAATACGTTCCAATTATCATCTTCGAACCTTTTTCAGATTTCCATAGCCGGAAGAAAGTATCCCAATCGCCCTCCTTAAACCCGATAGCTGAAGAAGTTTTAAAGTGGGAGTAAAGAGAAAGAATGAAATCAGGGTCAGCTGGGTAAAGGAACAGGTAGGTCACATGGGCTTTGGTTTGTGGCAGCCAATTTAACGGCAGATGTGTCCTGAGAAAAGAGATCATGTTAAAAAGTGTAATCTTGAAATTGTGATTGCTATCAGTGCCGTACTTGACATCTTTTTGTTAAAAGAGGCCTATTCAATACATTAATATCATATTTTCTTAAACCTTCCAGAACAATGGTATATTATTATCGTTTATTTGTTATTGCTAATCTCCAATACTTCCTCTAGTTCGTTATTTGTTAATCATTAACCAGGTTATCTGACTGCATATTACTATTGCCATTGGATTTTACTCAAATTCGTCTGTATAAATAAGTATAATCAATGTTAACCATGCACACGTTTGTATTATCCTCCTGGTCGATTTGTAGAACTCTAACCCGCCGTAGAGTCTTACGCCGTAGAGTCCGAACCCTGTAGAGCCTTGAAGGTGGATTTATATATTATTGTAATTTTGTCTTTATTCTCCTTGATGAATATCTTTCCAAAGTTCCTTGCTTAGAACTAAGACAACTACTTTTAAAATGAAACTCTCCTTGCGTCAGTAAGCCCTATGAAAAAATAGTAACTTTTCGTACCATGTAGCCAGGAGCATGGGCGACCGCAAATGGCTAGCTAATAATTACATGGTGATCGAGTAGTTAATAAATATCGGTTCTGAGTTTAGACTTAACGTAGTTAACGATAAGTCCACCAAAAAAATACAATAGGGCATGCCGCTTTCATTAGATTAATAGCCATTAATAATTTTAAAAAGCAACTATAAAAGCTGACGGAACGGACTTCGCCAGCTTTAAGATTGACTGGTTTTATGACTCAGAGCAAATATTATGCCTTTCGAAAATAATTAATTATGTTTGCGTCTGGCTATGCATGCGGCAATAGAACTTTATTCGCATACTTAGAATACGATAGCATCTCTCTTTAGCTTAGTTCCGATATTTCAGTCTGCCCATGTCTGTCAATGAATGTGCCATCGCTATTTCTTCATTTTCACACTTGTTCCAGCTGATATAGCCTTATAGGTTCAACTATCCAGTTTAAAATTATTCTTCTAGAAGATACCGGTTTAGAGAAGGAATGCAGATCGAAGTTGCTACTTAACTACAAATGTAATTGCACTTTCGTTTTCGTACGCTACTAGAAACCTGTTTTGGTAACTAATAATCATTCCTAAAGGTAGGGTTTGGGAGTCTACACTAACCAACTAAACGGTCAAGCTCCCTTACCTTAGCTCTACCTGCCGCTTAGAAACGATAGTGTTTTTCTTAGGATTATAAATATAAATAAGAACTGAAGAACTGAAGAAGATCCGAATGAAAAGCATTCCGTGCCTTTGTTTGTTCTGAACATGTTTTCAAATGACCTTTATCGGTATCTGCAATGCAGATTCTGCAATGCAGATTCTGCATGGCATTCTGCAGATATGTGTCATGTCTTATATGAACACGATGAATCGTAGTGCCTATGTTTATAGTCGTAGAGATAGTTGACTTGATGGTTTCGATTCATAATCTAATGTCGATTATCTTGTATGTCATTATTACATCTATCTTGATCTTATGATGAACACAAATTTGGGCATCCACTGAGGATGAATGTATTGATCATGCAACTAGGGTTAGCACCGACAAAGAAGGGGGCTCGAATCCCAGCGTCGCCTAATCAAGGAAGTTAATTAAGGATTCCGATGGATCTATGCAACTTGACAGTTGACACATCTGCCTTCTGATTCAGTGTGACCATACACTTGTACTCGGATGAATTAGCTGAATGAGCAGGGAAAATGGTTAATGAGTATATCTGCCCATTGCAGCGATACCTTTGGCTGGTGATATAATGTAGCCATTATGGCTGTTGGATAAACCGAACTAAACTAAACATTCAGGTTACGGCCAGTGTAATTAACAGACCTGAGAAGGCGCCTCCCCCCGATATGTGACTCTTCCTTAACCGTGTTGCCGTCTATCTCCAACCAGTGGAACTTGTCCTCCAACACAGGTAGTCCCAACAGCATCTGTACCATCACCCGGAACAAGATCGAGCCTGGGGAAATGTGTTATTATCATGTTATTGCTAACCATATCTTGTGCACGTAGGAGTTCTTCTTATCGTGTTATTGTTTTAGCTTATCAGTTATCATATCTTCACTGTGCGACCATAATTACGGGGCACGGGCGTTGAACTATCCAACGCCCACATTGTTTCAAATTAGATTGAATCTCCAATTAGATTAAATCTGTATTCTTGTTTTCCTTGCACATGCACATAGTTTATTGCCTAATTTTGAACATTGAACACGTTGACGTACATCTTGATTGTGGTTTTCGCTAGAAAAATTATGGCAGGTTTTGTACGGTGACTGGTATTAACTAATGAGGTTTCGATCTCATGAACGTAGGGAGTAGGGCCACTATAGGCCCAGATATTAGACTGATTGTTTTTATGGTTCAGAGCAAACATTATGCCTTTCGAAGGCTATGTCAAATTCAAACTTTTTGATATGATTAATTATGCTTTCGTCTGGCTATGCATGCGTTGATATGATTCTTGGATATTCCATTTCCACGAAAAAACATAATATTAATACAAAATTAAATTTTAAGATGTCTGAGAGCTGTACGGGGTTTTTCTTGAAACCTTTCTTTTCTTGAAACCTCATTTGTAGGAGTTGCATACAGCGGCTCCCAGACCTATATCGGATATACTGAATTATTCAAACTGACAGGCCAGAGCCTTGGGTGGACATCATTGCTTATGTATTCACTCAATTAGACAGGATTGTTCCTCAGAACTCAATTACATGAACCCCGTTATATACCGGTCTTAGGATCAATATCGTCTTATGATCCATAGTTGCACTCGCGTCTGTGTGTAGGTTTATTGTGCAATCTCAAAAAAGTGGACACTCCATGTTTAATCCTGCTTACTTACCATTTTGGGCGCGGTCATGTGTATTGAAAGTGTTCAGATCCAAACCTCGAATATACCCAAGCAAGTATTACTATTAGCAATACCTGCACGTTTTACTTTTGGGGAGGCAAAGTATTTGTTGGATATCTAAACGTTGTAGAGAACATACCCTGATAGTTGATACCCTACTCGATCATTTGATTCCAAAACTGTCCAATCCAAAGTTATGAGTTTTTCTTCCGGCTTCTGTTTTATATTAGTTGGACAATGGACAAGCTGTTTTTATATTTATTCAGTTATTGAATCAAATTTGATTAATTAGGAAATCGGAATAACTGAATAGGCTTTCACGATAAACACTATTCAAGCTTGATCTGTATGTGAAGTGAAAGAAATGAGTATGGTTGAGTGGTATAATTATAATTATAAGTCGATATATTAATATAGCTTGTCCTTTGTACTGGAGAAGCAACCATAAATGCGACATGCTTCAGAATGCACATGTTGGCTTGGTTGGCAACCCTAAATTGAGAAGTGTACGCGGAAACTTTCTTTAAAGGTTCGAACTTTCTTACAGCTATAATTCTCGACAGTCAAAGAGTGGTGTCTTGATACACACTGATTAATGAAGCTGATACTAGATGGGAGTTGATAATTAGGATTGGCAGCTGTCTTCTAGTTGATAGTTCTTGCCATAGTGATTGTGCCTGTTTAAGCTAAATTTAAGCTATATCTAGAAATAGAATCAAAGTACCACCATAACAACAAAATGTCAGAGATTTCTCTTCAAGTAGTTCACTTTGCTTCTTGTCTATGGTATAATATGCTTGAAACTAATCGTCTGACCGATCACCGAACTTGGCTAATTATTCCGCCTCACATGCAGTTTTAGTAATAGTCAGCCAAAGGTTAATAGCAGATATTTTGAAAAGTTTGGTCATATTTTACCGTCCACAATTATCATTCTTTCTTGAAAAATGTGTATAAGTGCTTAATTATTTTGTTTAGAGTTCATAAATTATTGTACTACGTAACAAATAATTTGAGAGGTTTTCAATTTTGAACACTAACAACTAAACATCACAACAATGCGACTCATAAATAATGTTCCTGTTTACTTAGTTGATATATTTTTTAGTCTTATATTAAGATTGCTTATGAGCAAATTTGAACAGCCACAAAGTGAAACAGCGGATCTATCCAACTAAAGCATAAAATTGGAAAGAACCGTTAAATCACTTTGTGTGTAATTATGCAATGTTCGCTGTGATTAACAATTAAACATTTTGATTAAACATGTTACATGATATTCCATCCAGTTTCTACTTAGTTTGAGTGTGTCTGAATATGTTAATAACTTCCTGACTTTTTGACAGCTCATATGTTTATATTCTTAATCAATACAGGCTTAATTAATCCACCCGTGCTATTAATATTTTAATATAATTGTAGTTATTAATATAATGTGTATTAAAATACTTTAATATAATTTTAATTATTAATATAATATGTATTAAAAGGAGTCACCTCCTTTTTGGTAGCTAGCCACCACCACATCTCCGTCCTGAAACTGAAAGTCCTGCAGTCCGGTCACCAGATCTGGGTTAATAATGCCCGGTACAGGGGTATTGTGTACCAGGGTGTGTCTGTAGGGTATTTCCTCTGTCTGATACACCGGGTAATCGTACCTGACACGTGGGTTATTACTTATAAACTCGTTTTTGTATATCTCTTGTCCGTTTTTATTGAACTATTTTATTTTAATTTCGTATTACAGCTGTTCTTAGCAATGCTTTTAACGGATATATTTAATTTCACTGAAATGCTTCCACCTCCGAATGATGAACTTATGTGTGATCTGTTTGTTAATCGGTTTAATTTCAAAATCCAGTAAAAAATGACCACCATTACTAACTTTCCGAATTCTTATTAAATGTCCTTAGATGCATTCGTCGGTTGTATATTCTCGGTATATATATATATAATAAATATCCTTAATAAATATTATTGCTGTATTCCTCCGCTCCCCTGAAATGTCCAGATTGTGGTCACTTTATGCATTACAGCCACTTCTATATGAAATTAGTGCATGTGATCTCCGAAATGTCATCAAAGTTACTTTAAGTATTATGGCCCCCTTTATCTAAAATTACTGCTTGCGATCTTCATAGACCAATACTTCTAGCAGGCGAGTGAGGATGATATATAATATTAAAAAATTGACAGATAATAAACTATTTTTTTACCACAACTTGGACTTTCTTTATGCAATTTTTACCTGATAATGGTCCCGCAGATTATTTGAAACGATAATTTGCATTTAAGTCAATCTTCCAGCTGTAACCTTCAGTTTCACACAGTTTGATACAAATTTTAATCATTAAATTTTACCACACAAAAAGTTTAAAATAATAGTAGTGGTAAATTTCTTAGTGGACAAGTTGGTGAGTTATAACACTTACTTGTAAACCCTGCCATAAACGTTCATGTTCGTTGTAACGAAAAAGGGACCAACTGCAAAACAGACAGAAACTTTGTGCTTCTAAATTTTGTTCCCAGATCTAGTTATGATGCGATTCAGCAATTTTCGTAGACACTTTAGAATCTCCTCCTCTCGGTATCTATGGTGTTGAAAGTTACACCATTGTTTTGGTTTACAGTTAACGCTCTATAATTACAGAGTAATGTGCTTCAAACAGAGATGATTATGACCATATCATAGATCTGGAATCTGCTGTATTTAGTCCGAGTTCAGACTGTGTAGTCAGGGTCTAGACCCGCTACAGACAGTGAACTTAAAATTGTTTAATTGTATTTATAGCCTTGGTCTTGTTGTCATATTATGACGACCATTGCAATACAAATACATTAGACAGACCTCCCTATTTCGGGTAATAACTCCAGATCATTGCTCCAGCCCTGCTCAACCATACAGCTCAATAATTAATGCCCAGAATATTGTGTTGAAGGATTCTATGGTTGGTGTTTTTTTTAAAGTTATAGACTTTTCATTGAAATATTCACACGTTATGAAGGATGACGCAGGTTTTATAAAAAGCCCATTACTGAGCATTTATATGGAGGCCATTTGCAATTTATATCGGCTAAATACTGAAATATTCAATCTGAAAAAATAATCTTAGTTGGTAAAAATTGCGAAATGTACCATGTTACGATGAAAATGAAGGCTGGAATCTAATATTTTATCATTGTATTGATTTAAAAACGTTACTCCACTCCTACGCCCTACGGTCGTAGATAACCACTAACCAGGTATCCCATTGGCCGTAAGCTTGCCACAACTTCTGTAGAGTTAAGTTTAACCAGAACTTCGAAACCACAATGTGCAATATATGTGCATTATATGTGCAATATAATATGTTATTAATATTAATATTAATATTAATATTCAATTTCCTGGTCTTAACTCCCACTTTCCATCAAGTAATTATTTTTATAGTTACAAAGAAGCAATAAACCCCATAAAATGGAAGATAACCGGGTGATGTCATCTCAAGTAGCATCTTGACAGGATTCCTGGTGATGATCGAGAACGAAATAAAGGACAGTAAGGAAATTTCCGATATTCTTCGAGGTCTTTATTAAATATAGAGTCACAATATGCCGTATTTATTGACATACTGGTGCCGGTTGCATGCAATGATATGTAATATTCACCATCGTAAAGCAGTGCACTGCTGTTACGGTATTATACTGCACTGATATTTCTTGTAGTTATCGTACTACTATTACCGGATTGGTACAGCACTTCAGTCAGATTGGCACAGCAGTTCCGCAGGTACTGCTGATTGATCGTATACCAATCAGCATATTCAAAGGCTAACAATAAAACTTGAGTCCATTAAAGTAGGTTAGACATGTTACTTTTCTTTTGTTGGCATTATACTATTATATAACAATAAGTGTACGGTGCCAAACTCGACACCTCCAAAGTGCACTTAAGTCCGGGGGAGCACAGTGCTTTCAATGCAGCTTTTGTACTGTCGTAACTCTGTGATTCTTAAATTATGTTCCATATTTGGAGTCGCGCACTGTAAGATTATAAAATCAGATTCGAAAAAAAAGTAGTATTCAGCTTTATTGTGATTTATTTTCGAAACTCCCAGTGTTTACTTATCTGATTCGTCCAGATATCTTTACAATTTCACATTTTAAAGGAATGATTTAAATTCAAACATCCCATGTTTTTGAAATATTTCAACAATTTCATGGTTTAAATCTACAGGGCAGGAATCAATGGGCCAGTTGAGGAGACAGTCTAGTTTCCAGGTCCGACTCAAATGGAAAGCGCTGATAATTGTCAGAAAGTTCATCACCACTGCTACCAAGCTGGCAAATGAAAAGTAAGAATTAATTTTAACGTTAAGAAAACCTATGATTTATCTCAGCTCTTCCATAGCTGTCGCAGAAATGGGTCGGTAAATAAAAAAAGGCGTGAGGTAAATTTAAAATTATAACCAGATATTTGTACAGTCTTTAAACGGTACTTTCACCATCGTTACTAATTTACTATCTTCTTATTGATATTAATTGTATGATGTATCAATCAATCGTTTGCATATTTCACAACGTCAGCCATCTTTTCGCCAGAATGTAGTAATGTTTTATGATAAGTGCGAAAAACATTAAATATCATGATTATCTCTCTAACTACTAAGATAAGCAATTTTTTTAATTTCCTGGATACTAAGTTACGTGGTGGTGAAGTAAGCTGTTAAATGACTGACTTTATACACCGAACTTATATAGCAGTATTACAGAAGAATACGTATTAAACTCTCCGTAATGACATCATAATTTTAAACAAGAATAAATAATTTAAATAATACACTTAAAATAAATCATGCGAAGGTCAAGTAGTATTTGAAATTGCTTAGTCCTATTTAGCGACAACGTAATTAGATACGTTATACGCTACACAGAACTGTTCAAGATTCCAGTCAGTAATATCTGGTAACCACTTCTCCAAGAGCCCTGAACTCACTCCTTCATCCCTAAATCGGCAATTGTATGAATTTTGCCTGTCAAAATATATTATCATGTTAAGTGATATCAACTAACATTGTTCAAAATGAATCATAAAACTTCACACTAAATGTACACACAATATGAGAATATATAGAAAGAAAGTCTTCCTTGGATTACACATTGAACTTTGATCAGATCCTGGATCAACTGATCATCATTTCTCGGTCATTCTCCAATGAAGCCAGCAGGTTCAATTTAGGTAAACTTGGTTTTCGGATCTCCATATCTTCAGAAGCAGGCCAGAAGGGATGCAGTTACCAGAGGAATATCTTCGTGGAACCAGGGAATTAATGAGGTCTTCATTGATTTCTTCATAACTGGTCACTGACAGGATCAGCATTGATGAGGTCGAATGATTACTTCATAGCTCGTCACTGATACGATCAGTATTAATGAGGTTAAATGATGACTTAATAGCTCGTCACTAACTGGATCAGCATTACATGACTAACGAGGTCCTGTGATCTCTTACTAATACACCAAGACAAAGGTCATCCATTCTTGATCGTCAAAACATACGTCCTCGTCAAAACATCCACCTTTAACTTTCTGCCGTCACACCTTGTCCACGGGTTAAACTGTAGTATCTTCTTACATGCATGAGACTTGAATGTGAAAGTGGTACCACGTGACTATGATATCTGGTTGATCTCTGATCACGTGGTATCGGAGTAATGAGATTATGTATCTCTAGTCATAGATTCCTGTAGCTTAGAATTCGGCTTAAATCCTAGACTACTGGATGGAACCTTGATATGACGACGAGTAAAGAGTAATGAGTAAGATTAGATAATACTCTCTGGACACGAAATCCTATGGATTCGTGGTTACAACAATTTCATGTACATTTTATTTCTCCTCTGTAGTTGCAATCCTAACTATAATAATCGACACGTAACGACAGCTTTGACTAAACGAAATATTTTGGATGTTTGACATCTTCAATAAATTAATTAGTTAATTAAATTTTTAGTTGTAAAATAGTTTAAAATAGACTTCAAGTTTTGCGGCACATTTCGCAAATATTCACCGCACTTGAGCCACGCTATTCGCCAAATTTTTTTTTCTGACCCTTTGTAAAAATAATTCGCCATTTGATGACTTTTCCAACCACGACTCTCAGTTTAACACAGTAACCTCAGTTAACACCTCGACACACATTGTCACTGTTCTCTAGAGCTATTATAGAATCATTGCGCTGAAACAATTCTTCGGCCAACCAACCAACCATCGATCCATATAGTTTAAGAAAAACTCGTAATATCACCCTAGTACTAGTATAGTAGTATAGCCCCTGAGTAATATTGCAGCAAATCTCTCAGACGGTTGACGGAACGTCTCATTTCTTTGGATGCTATAATAATTGAGTAATTTACCCACGAGTTCTTGTCAGTTGAACACTTCAGCGTAACTTGTCGATCTTCACGGCAGCAGTCTCCATGGTGACAGGCCCTGTTCTAAAAGTTCTTCTTTGTGACTACATGTCTGGTTGAAAAGTTGCTGAACCGAGTTGAGTGGCGCAGCTTCGCTAGACAACCCACATATTATATTGCTCTAATCCTACCTTTTATTGAAGTTCATGCTGATATCATATACACCCTCTGTCATCTTTATTACTTTTTCTCAATTTCTTTGGTGAATGCCACTGTCCACTTTAACGTCATGTGCATTTCTCAATCCCTTTTTTAAGCTCTTTTCTTCTTCTCATCACAGACAAAATTCGTCCAACTCCAAGTTTATCTGACATCAGAAAACCAGCCCGCACCGAAAATGAAAAGAGTTGAGATGTTGTCGGGGAAACGAGGTTCTGCGGAGGATGCCAACGCTAAAACGTGGTACTCGAAGTGGAGGACGTACTTGTTAGCCCAGCGGTACATTCAAATAAGTGGGAGTGCAGTGGCGTTCTCAAGACAGGCCTCTGTTGTTACCTCATCCAGGTGGGTCAATCATTCAACTTGTGCTGTTGTTGGTTCATTAGAAATCCGTTATAATTGGATTGCTTTTTAGTATAGTTCATTCTTTCATTAGACAAGAAATTGTCAGATGCCATAAAAACACCCTCATCCACCTTTTTATCACTGCTTTGGTTACCCTTGGCTCTGAGCTGCGAGCTCCAATCTTATCCAATCACTTATTACATTAGAGAGCTATTTTGTGGCTAACTTTTGTGGCTAACTTTTGTGGCGAATGCTTAACCTGGCATATACTATTAGGCCCAATTGCGAAAATTGTGCCTGCAATTAGGGAAATGTAATACAACGTTGCATCTGAAATACTTTAACTGCTCGGAAAGTCAGATTAATCGCCCTAATTGCTGCGACCCGTTTTCCATGTTATGAATTTTAATGCTCCAAATTATGATGATTTGAACGAGGGGGAGCAGCTTGCATATATCCCGGGTAGCTCTTCTGAACGGTTGAGGTAGGTTCATGCTGTGCGTGTGCTGTCGCTGTGGTAATGAGTTAACAACTATTAAATAAATA